GTCCTTTCCAACCCAACCCATTCCATGATCCTATGAAACAGAATCCAGACATTGGGTTCCTGCACCTTCATCTAAAACATGCTCAGAGATGGATGCTCTTTGCTGCTTCTCTGCCTCTACTTGGAGCTGTGAGCACCGAGCTCACATCTACAGGAGGGATGAGGCACGTAGGCTTGAGCATCCCAACGCTCACTCCCAGAGCCATGGAGCCATGGGATGGCTTGGGATGGAAGGGACCTCAAAGCTCATCTAAAGCCATGGGCAGGGAGCAGCTTGCTCCAAGCCCCTGTGTCCAACCTGGCCTTGGGCACTGCCAGCGATGGGGCAGCCCCAGCTTCTCTGGGTACCCAGGCATCAGCATCCTCACAGGGAAGAGCTTCTGCCCCAGAGCTCCTCTTTATGCAGCGCATTCAAACCCCGGGATAATGAAAGCTCCCTTCCCACCGTGGATATTTCCATGGGGAACCCGTGCCCCACACAAAGCCCTGCGCATCGATCCTGCCGCCAGCAGCAATGGGGCAGCCCCACGGCTGCAGGATCCCCCCTACGCCCACGGTGTCAGCCCAGGTCAGGGGCTGTGAACCGGCCCCACCACCAGCGTGACCGGACAAGCTCTGCTGGGCACACACATGCTGGCCACAGGCCACAAGGTCCACAGGGGTCAAGGCAGGCCCTGAATGGCCACAAAGGCTCAGGGCTATGGGGTGAGGAAGGGGGGGGGCCCATAGGAAACCCCCAGCACTGTAGGATGGGGGGGTGGCCGGAGCAGTGTTAATGCCTGCGGGGCCGAGGGCAGGGCAGGGAGCAGAGGAAGTGTAAAGGCAGAGGAAGGGGATGCCTGGTAAAAGGCAGGTGTAGGGATGGGTAAAGGAGGGAGCGTGGGGAGCCTGTTCCATGTCAGCAAGCAGGAGCATCCCACTGCGCCCAATGGGAGAGCATGGGGACATTGTGCTCATAAAGGGCCCCAGGCAGGGCCGCTGCTGGAGGTGCTCGACCTCCTCCTCCGGACCTTCAGCCCTGTATTCAGCACACAGGGTCCTGACACAGGGATCCGGCTTTGTTATCCCATAGGAGCACATTACCCCAACAGGGACACACGGATCCGGCTTTGTTATCCCATAGGAGCACATTACCCCAACATGGACACAGGGATCTGGCTTTGTTATCCCATAGGAGCACATTACCCCAACAGGGACACACGGATCCGGCTTTGTTATCCCATAGGAGCACATTACCCCAACATGGACACAGGGATCTGGCTTTGTTATCCCATAGGAGCACATTACCCCAACAGGGACACACGGATCCGGCTTTGTTATCCCATAGGAGCACATTACCCCAACATGGACACAGGGATCTGGCTTTGTTATCCCATAGGAGCACATTACCCCAACAGGGACACACGGATCCGGCTTTGTTATCCCATAGGAGCACATTACCCCAACATGGACACAGGGATCTGGCTTTGTTATCCCATAGGAGCACATTACCCCAACAGGGACACACGGATCCGGCTTTGTTATCCCATAGGAGCACATTACCCCAACATGGACACAGGGATCCGGCTTTGTTATCCATAGGAGCACATTACCCCAACATGGACACAGGGATCCGGCTTTGTTATCCATAGGAGCACATTACCCCAACATGGACACAGGGATCCGGCTTTGTTATCCCATAGGAGCACATTACCCCAACATGGACACAGGGATCTGGCTTTGTTATCCCATAGGAGCACATTACCCCAACATGGACACAGGGATCCGGCTTTGTTATCCCATAGGAGCACATTACCCCAACATGGACACAGGGATCCGGCTTTGTTATCCCATAGGAGCACATTACCCCAACATGGACACAGGGATCTGGCTTTGTTATCCCATAGGAGCACATTACCCCAACATGGACACAGGGATCTGGCTTTGTTATCCCATAGGAGCACATTACCCCAACATGGACACAGGGATCCGGCTTTGTTATCCCATAGGAGCACATTACCCCAACATGGACACAGGGATCTGGCTTTGTTATCCCATAGGAGCACATTACCCCAACATGGACACAGGGATCTGGCTTTGTTATCCCATAGGAGCACATTACCCCAACATGGACACACGGATCTGGGTTTGTTATCCCATAGGAGCACATTACCCCAACATGGACACACGGATCTGGGTTTGTTATCCCATAGGAGCACATTACCCCAACATGGACACAGGGATCTGGCTTTGTTATCCCATAGGAGCACATTACCCCAACATGGACACAGGGATCTGGCTTTGTTATCCCATAGGAGGACATTACCCCAACATGGACACACGGATCTGGGTTTGTTATCCCATAGGAGCACATTACCCCAACATGGACACAGGGATCTGGCTTTGTTATCCCACAGGAGCACATTACCCCAACATGGACACACGGATCTGGGTTTGTTATCCCACAGGAGCACATTACCCCAACATGGACACAGGGATCCGGCTTTGTTATCCCATAGGAGCACATTACCCCAACATGGACACAGGGATCCGGCTTTGTTATCCCATAGGAGCACATTACCCCAACATGGACACAGGGATCTGGCTTTGTTATCCCATAGGAGCACATTACCCCAACATGGACACAGGGATCTGGCTTTGCTATCCCACAGGAGCACATTACCCCAACATGGACACACGGATCTGGGTTTGTTATCCCACAGGAGCACATTACCCCAACATGGACACACGGATCTGGGTTTGTTATCCCATAGGAGCACATTACCCCAACATGGACACAGGGATCCGGCTTTGTTATCCCATAGGAGCACATTACCCCAACATGGACACAGGGATCCGGCTTTGTTATCCCACAGGAGCACATTACCCCAACATGGACACAGGGATCTGGCTTTGTTATCCCACAGGAGCACATTACCCCAACATGGACACAGGGATCTGGCTTTGTTATCCCATAGGAGCACATTACCCCAACATGGACACAGGGATCCGGCTTTGTTATCCCACAGGAGCACATTACCCCAGCATGGACTGGGAGCTGCTCCAAGGTCTCCCCTTCACACAGCAGAAGGAAATCCCTCAGCCCATAAAGCACAGAGGGTACCCTAGGGATGTATTTCCCAGTGGAAATCAGCATCCTGCATCACCAGGAGCGTGCCCCAGTGCTCAGAGCTGGGGATTCCACCCATGTCTGCAACTCGGTGTGAATGATCATACTGGAGTGCTTGTGGGATCCATTGTAATCCAAAGGAGGGCATGGAGATGCTGCGAGGGCTGGAGCAGCTCTGCTCTGGAGCCAGGCTGAGAGAGCTGGGCTGGGGCAGCCTGGAGAAGAGAAGGCTCCTGAAGGGGAGACCTGAGAGCAGCTCCAGTGCCTAAAGGGGCTGCAGGAAAGCTGGAGAGGGGCTTGGGACAAGGGCCTGTAGGGACAGGACAGGGTGGCCAGAGAAGCTGTGGCTGCCCCATCCCTGGCAGTGCTCAAGGCCAGGCTGGACACAGGGGCTTGGAGCAAGCTGCTCCAGTGGAAGGGGTCCCTGCCCATGACAGGGGTTGGAGCTGGATGGGCTTCAAGCTCCCTTCATCCCAACCCATTCCATGATTCCATGGTCTCCCCATTCAGGCCCATGCTGCACAGGGCAGGAGGCTGCTGGAGGCTGGCAAAGCAGACCCAGGTCACTGCTAATGGAGGAGACCCAGGGGGGACCCTCAGGGAGGAGCTCCTGCAGCAGGAGGGAGGCAGGGACTGGGACCAAGGTTGAGGGGAGCTGCCCTGGCCTCGGCTCTGCAGAACAAGGGGCACCATGGGCAGACGATGGAACAGCACCCACAGACCTGGACCCGCATTGAGCAGAGCCTGCTCCTTCCTGGCCAAGAGCAAAGCGCAGCCACCAAGGTCACGGTGCTGAGGAGCTGTTGTCATGGCAGCGCATCCCTGGCAGCGCAGAGCTGCTCCCTCTCCTCCTCCAGTGCTGATGGGGTTGTGCTCACTGGCAGCCCAGTGCTGCTGCAGGATGCCTGCAGCCACCATGGACCACCTGGAGTCACCATGGACCACCTTGAGCCACCTCCAGACCCTGCTGCTGGAGCCCTGAGTAACCTGGTCTGGCCTCAGCTCTGACCCTGCCCTAAGCAGGGGGTTGGACACGGAGACCTCCTCAAGCCTCTTCCAACCCCAGGGATGCTGGGAGATGATGAATGCTGTAAGAACAGGACCCACAGGGAGTGCTCACAGCCAGAACCCCCCCCTGTGTGCTGGGGGCACCCCCAGAGCGTGAGCAGCAGCGCAGGGAGGGGATCCTGCCCCTCTGCTGTGTGAAGGGGAGACCTTAGAGCAGCTCCAGTGCCTAAAGGGGCTGCAGGAAAGCTGGAGAGGGGCTTGGGACAAGGGCCTGTAGGGCCAGGCCAAGGGGAATGGCTTGAACCTGCCCGAGGGGAGACTGAGCTGAGCTCTTAGGCAGAAGCTCTTCCCTGTGATGATGCTGAGCACATGGGAATCAGGGCATGGTTTGGGTCCAGAGGGACCTTACCCATTGCCAGTGAAGCTGGATCCATGAGGGCTCTGTGACACAGCTGGGAGGAGCAACGACTGCACCATCTCATTCCCACCAGCTCACCCCAGAGCTGTGTGGCCAAGGTACCAACAGCACCTGAGCCTCAACCAGCTCACGGGGACCAGCACCCAACCAGTGCCTTGGGCAGAGCACATCCACTCCCAGCATCGTGGAGCTCTGATTCCCTGCCACCGTGTCCATAAGGGAGGTGACATGAGCAGAGCCCATACTGTGGGAGGGAAACGGCAGAGATGCAGCTAGACCATGGGGTGCATCCATAGGGAGAAAGAGAAACTCACTGGAGGGGAATGGGAACGGGGGAACCACAAAGGGATTAGAGCAAGGAGTAAAGCCCAGCTCACCATGGTAGGGAGTGAGCGTGGTGCTGGCCCCAGCCCCATGGGGTCAGGGCTGTGCCCCATAGCCCCATGGCCCCATGGCTGGCACTCACCTGCCTCCAGCAGCAGTGTGACAGTGGGGCGGTCATCGGCCAGCACAGCGTAGTGCAGGGCTGTGCAGCCCCTGAAGTTGGCCCTGATGTTGAGGCGGTTGCTGAAGTCATCCTCCCGGGTCACCAGCACTGTGGGGAGAGCAAAGGATGCTCAGCACAAGGGGGGTGAAGGGGAGAGCACCCCCAGAGCCCCAGCGCTGTGGGCTCAGCAGCACCCAGCGGGGTTGCTCTTGGCCATCAGGACCCCACTGGGTTTCACTGGAGGGTTTTGTCCCCACTGCATTGAGCAGCAGCAGCAGAGCTGCAGGCAGGATGGGATCCCCCATCCAGGCAGGGGAGGAGGTGGAGGGAGAGAGAGCTCTGAGCGCAGCCCCAACCACAGCCTCTGCCACCTTCAGCATCACACTGGGATCCAGCACAAGTAATTGAGGAGACTACTTTGTCTGTCCCCTTTTCATGGGAACCATGGGATGGATTGGGATGAAGGGAGCTTAAAGCTCATCTAAAGCCATAGGCAGGGACCCCTTCCACTGGAGCAGCTTGCTCCAAGCCCCTGTGTCCAACCTGGCCTTGAGCACTGCCAGGGATGGGGCAGCCACAGCTTCTCTGGGCACCCTGTGCCAGCGCCTCAGCACCCTCACAGGGAAGAGCTTCATCCCAGTGTCCCATCTAACTCTTCCCTCTTCCAGGTTGAAGCCATTCCTCCTCATCCCATCCCTGCATCCCTTGTCCCAAGCCCCTCTCCCAGTTCCCTGCAGCCCCTTTAGGCACTGGAGCTGCTCTCAGGTCTCCCCATAGCCCAGCAGAGGGGCAGGATCCCCTCCCTGAGCTGCTGCTCACGCTCTGGGGGATGCACCCAGCACAGGGGGGGCTCTGGCTCTGAGTTCATGGGCAGATTCAGAAGCTGCACCACGTTGAGAAGAGAACCCCCCATACCAGGAGTACCTGCTGCTGCCCTGCCCGATGAACCAATTCCCTGGCTCCTTCCCTTTCCTGCCTGTGCTCCCCCAGCACGGATGGATGGATGATGGATGGATGGAGGGAGGGATGGATGGATGGAGGGATGGATGGATGGATGGATGGATGGAGGGATGGATGGATGGAGGGATGCATGGATGGATGGATGGATGGATGGAGGGATGGATGGATGGAGGGATGCATGGATGGATGGATGGATGGAGGGATGGATGGATGGAGGGATGCACGAATGGATGGATGGATGGATGGAGGGATGGATGGATGGATGGAGGGATGCATGGATGGATGGATGGATGGATGGATGGACGGATGCACGGATGGATGGATGGATGGATGGATGGAGGGAGGGATGCATGGATGGAGGGATGCACGGATGGATGGATGGATGGATGGACGGATGCACGGATGGATGGATGGATGGATGGAGGGATGCACGAATGGATGGATGGATGGATGGATGGATGGATGCATGGATGGATGGATGGATGGTTGGAGGGAGGGATGCATGGATGGATGGATGGATGGATGGAGGGATGGATGGATGCATGGAGGGATGGATGGATGGATGGAGGGATGCACGGATGGATGGATGGAGGGAGGGATGCATGGATGGAGGGATGCATGGATGGATGGATGGAGGGAGGGATGCACGGATGGATGGATGGATGGATAGAGGGATGGATGGAGCTGGAGGGGGGGGGGGGGAAGGATGTCTATTTATTTATTTGTCGTCATTTCCTACCCAGGGAGGAGCAGGATAATGAACTCCGTGCGTCAGGGAAGATGAATCTCAGCTACTAGGGAGCAGTGCAGTAAAGAGATTAAAGCGTTATTATTGTGGGGTTCGTTTCCCCCCATGGTCCTGGTGACAGCCCAGCCTCAGCTGTAAAAAATGTCTGGCAGGGAGATAATCATCAGCAACTCAATAAGGCGTCAGGGGGAGGCTCCGGCGCCATCCATCACCCCGAGCCTGGCAACCTCCCTTCCTGCCAGCCATATAAATGTCTCTAATATATTTGGGGAGAGCTTTGCAAGAGGAAATATTTATCCAGCAAAATATGTAAATGTGGGAATGGAAGCAAAAAAAAAAGCAGGGGGAAAAGAGCCCAGCGCCAGGGCTGGGTGGGGGCTCCTTAAAGATGCAACTGAATTTATTCTTTTTAATAAAAGATGTCAAGGCGAGGATTAATGCAGCGCCTGCCTGAGTGGCCTCATCTTTCCTTCAGCCCCAAATATATAACGTGGAGAGAGGGAGGAAGGCAGGAACAATTCACTTTATGGGTGGATATCCCTGGTCTTAAATAAAGGCTGTGCCCGTTATGGATTGGCATCCCATTGTTCGGGTTTTAATGTTGCTTCATGCATCTTGGATGCGGCACATGGAGGTGATGGATGCGTGGTCCAGCCCCACACGGAGCACATCGGATGGGTCATGGGGAGGGAGGAGAGCCCAGGGCTCCTATAGAGCAAACAACACCGTGTCCAAGTGATCCCAAGGGATTCATCCTCCAAACTCGCCCTGTGCTGGGAATGTCATGCCAATGGGGAATGGCATTCCGCCAGTGATGCCAATGGGGAATGGCACCGTGTGGTCACGGTGAGGGTGCTGAGGCGCTGGCACAGGGTGCCCAGAGAAGCTGTGGCTGCCCCATCCCTGGCAGTGCTCAAGGCCAGGTTGGACACAGGGGCTTGGAGCAAGCTGCTCCAGTGGAAGGGGTCCCTGCCCGTGGGTTTAGATGAGCTTCAAGCTCCCTTCATCCCAACCCATCCCATGATCCCATCGTGATTCTATGACTTGACCCCACTCAGGTGTCCCCAGCTCTTGCCTTCTCCTCCCAGGACCCATCTGAGCATCGCTCAGCCACTGCCAGGCCTCCTGCTCCCATCTCCACTGCCTCCACAGGGAGCACATCTGCATGTGCTGACCTCCTGCCTTGCACTGTGAAGCCCCCCATTGGCCAGCAGCTCTCAGGGGTTTGCAGAGGCACCATCATCGAATCATGGATTCCCAGTCTGGGTTGGGATGAAGGGAGCTTAAAGCCCATCTAAAACCACAGGCAGGGACCCCTTCCATAGAGCAGCTTGCTCCAAGCCCCTGTGTCCAACCTGGCCTTGAGCACTGCCAGGGATGGGGCAGCCACAGCTTCTCTGGGCACCCTGTGCCAGCGCCTCAGCACCCTCACAGGGAAGAGCTTCTGCCTAAGAGCTCAGCTCAGGCTCCCCTCGGGCAGGTTCAAGCCATTGGGTCCCTGCCAGGCCAGGAGCTGGGCGCCAGCAGCATCCCTGAAGGCCGCAGCTGGTGCTGTTCCAGACGTTCCCCCCCAGATTCCATCAATAACCAGTACACCAGTAAATGTAACCCATTTATCACACTGGCAAGGGGGAAAGTCTGGGAAATCTCAAGTGCCCTGAAGAAAAGAGCAGGGCTCTGAGCAAGCTGCTCTGGTGGATGGTGTCCCTGCACTCACAGCCCTTCAACCCAAACCCTTCCATGACCCCAAGTGTGCATCAGTACCCCAGCAATGGGTAACGTTGGGATGAGACTGGCACTGGAGCCATCAGCCAAGAGAAATGGCACTGCAGGGAACTTCCTTGTCCTCATGGGAAGCCTCCCAGGGCTGGAAGGCATCACTGGTGCATGCCCAAGGCAGCAGCACTGATGAAACCATCCATCTTCAGCCCAACTGGGCAGGGCTGGAGTGCCTTAGTTATAAGAGGCTGGGGTGGGATACCTGCTCTGGAGCCTCCTCCAGCAAGTGCCTGCATGCGGTCAATGGGATGATCCCTATCTACAACCAGATGGGATGCTCTGGCTGGAGGGAAGCAGGTTATCCCCAGGATTGCTTCTCATACACATCTACCCCATGTTTCCTTTCCCCTTCACACACTCACCCCCATGCCATCAGGTCCTCTGCTTTTCAATAGCAGCCGAGGCTCTGAACCCACCCCATCCAGGTCAAATCCCCACTTTAAAGGCAGGAAATGCAGGGGCTGCACCCATCCAACGTTACCTTCCAACGAGTGGAGCCCTTTCTCCTTGGCAGTCTCATAGACGCTGCTGAAGTCATCTCCAAGGTTTGGATCTGCATTGGCTGCCAGCAGGAGCTTCACCACGCTGTTGGGAATGAGAGAAAGGATGGGTAGAGCAGGAGCAGGGAGGCAGAGCTCAGCAACCCCACCTCAGCCATTCCCAGCTTGGGAAGAGGAGCCAGAAACCACGATGGAACCCTGCAATACAACCAGAGCAGTGCATCCTGAATGGCAGCGGATGTGGGGCAGGCACTGGGGGGCTCACAGCCCTCCCCAGGAGCCATCCAGAGCATGCCCTTGGTGGGAATCACATCCCCAGCCCACCATGGGCATCCGTTCTCATCCCATAGGGCTGGAGCAGCGGTGGAAGCTGTCCCCAGTGGCAAGAACAGCACAGATGGGGCAGGGTCGTGGCTCCAAGCGCATCCCTGTGCCTGCAGGATGGAAGATGCTTGCAACACTCTTCAGTGAAGGGAAGCAAAGCCACCTCCTGCTGCTTCTGGGGCAGCACCAGTTCAGCACCTGAGGACAGGAGCCGTTCCATCAAGGCAATAGGACTTCAATAGGGCTTTGGGATGAAGCCCAACCAGAGGCAGGGGGTGGGAGGGACCTATTTGCTCCTGAGGTTTCCATCCCTCTGTTTACAGCATTCAGTCCTTTTACAGAGAATCCCAGAATGGGTTGGGATGAAGGGAGCTTAAAGCTCATCTAAAGCCACAGGCAGGGACCCCTTCCATAGAGCATCTTGCTCCAAGCCCCTGTGTCCAACCTGGCCTTGAGCACTGCCAGGGATGGGGCACCCTCAGCACCCTCCCCTCACAAGCAATCCCAAGGGCCCTCATCCATGGGGTTGTGCCTTTGAGGGCTGCAGGGGCTCCAGGCAAATCCCCGCTGTGGGATGCAGGCAATCCGAACACCATCACCCCTGAGCCATCCCAATCCCCTGCAGGCAGCAGCACCCAGAGCTGCCAAAGGACATTTACCAACCCCATGCAGAGCACGGCCCCATCAGTTTCCTACAAGGCAGGGATGGAGGCACCATCCCTATGGGTGTTATCACCCCATAGAGCCGAGGCCTCAGTGCCATGGGGCAATGGTTGCACTGGATGCTCCTGGAGCTCTTCCCCATCAGGCTGCATCAGGATGGGCAGGTTTGGGGATGGATTCTCCCCCCTCCATTGCCAGCCCAAGCACTCATCAGGTGTCTCAGCACTTGGGGATGATGCTCGAGGCCACCTGAACTCTTCATTCCTCCCCATGGCAACCAGACAGTGAGGGGCTGGGGAGCATCCATCAGGGGTGACAGGGCTCAAGGCCTGACAGCCACTGATGGACACGGCTCTGCAGGCTCTGTCCTGTCAGCTCCCATTACAACAGCACTGCAGCTCCTCTCCCCTCGGTCCCTAAGTGCATCACTGCAATCAATGGGGCCTGGGGTGAATAAGGCACAAAGAACCCAACAGGTTCCTGTTATCCACAGGGATGAAGGTGCCCTTGTGGCAGCTGGGCGCTGGGCAGGGCACCCCTGGAATATGGGGTCAGGTTGGGTCCTGCTGCACAGCAAAGCTGTGGCCGGGCTGGATTGGGACCAGAGAAGGGCCTCAAGGATGCTCCAAGGGCTGGGCAGCAGTGAGGAAAGGCTGAGAGAGCTGGGACTGTGCAGCTGGAGAAGAGAAGGCGCAGGGAGACCTGATCCATGTGCCAGAGGTAAAGGGGGATGCAGGGAAGATGGAGACTCCCTTTGGACAAGGAGTCCCATGGGGAAGCCCAGGGGTGATGGGCACAAGTTACTGCTGGGAGATTCCCAATGGACACAAGAGGAGAATCATCCCAGTGAGAACAAGCAGCCACTGGAATAATGTCCCCAGGGCAGTGGGGACTCCCCAGTGCTGGACACTGTTAAGATGGGGCTGCACAGGGTGCTGGGCATCCAGTCTGGGTCAGGCTGTGCATGGAGAGGTTGGAGCAGAGGATCCCTGAGGATTCCATTGGGAGTGCAGGGTTCAGAGCCACGATGGATGGGGTCAGAGCTGCCCCAGCTCTCAGGACCAAGCACAGACCTCAGCTCTGTTCCAAGAGCCCTGCTCCAGGCTGGGATCCAGCCCTAGGCCCAGGGAGCACTCAGGGCTCTCAGCCAGGGTCTGTCTCCAACCACCCCTCAATCCCATCAGCTCAGGGCCCTGCTGTCCCCCCAGGCACTCCTCCATCCCACCCAGCAACGTGCAGGTAATGGGACATGGAAGCAAACTGGTCTGTAGGAAAGGCAGCAGCAGATCCAGACAGAGCGACCGAGCACTGGGAGAGGTGGGAATGTCACTGGGGGGGAGGCTGAGCTGAGCTCTTGGGCAGAAGAGCACCCCTGGGAGGATGCTGAGGCGCTGGGATGGGGTGGAATGATGAGACCCAGCCTTGGTCCCTTCATCCCAAGGGATTCCATGACCCTATGGAGATACCCCCCTCAGCTCCTTGGCAGGTAACACCACGGTCCCTATGGGCATCCAGGTGTTGCTCCAGCTCAAGTGAAAGGGGTGAGGAAGCCCATAGGGCACTGATGCGTGCTCCTAACAGAGGAGCTGGGACTGCACCAGTTATCATGGCATTGCCCAGAGATAGAAACCAGCCCCACACCGGCCACCCTTCACTGGGAGGCCCAGGACATGCACTGGACCATCTCCATCACTGCTGTTATTGACACAAGCCATTGACGCAGCACCTTCAAAGGTGGGCACCAAGCATGGAGGTGGGCACCAAGCATGGAGGTGGGCACCAAGCATCGAGGTGGGCACCAAGCACGGAGGTGGGCACCAAGCATGGAGGTGGGCACCAAGCATGGAGGTGGGCACCAAGCATTGAGGTGGGCACCAAGCATCGATGTAGGCACCAAGCATCGAGGTGGGCACCAAGCATTGAGGTGGGCACCAAGCATCGAGGTGGCCATGGTGGGGGCGCAGGTCCCAGGCATCCACACTGAGCTGCTCCCTAAGCTCTTCCCTGTGAGAGTGCTGAGGCGCTGGCACAGGGTGCCCAGAGAAGCTGTGGCTGCCCCATCCCTGGCAGTGCTCAAGGCCAGGTTGGACACAGGGGCTTGGAGCAAGCTGCTCCAGTGGAAGGGGTCCCTGCCCCTGGCAATGGCTGGGAATGGATGGGCTTTCAGCTCCCTCCATCCCAACCCGCTCTGGGGTGTGTGGTTAATGCCTCACCGTGTTTGGGTGCAGGACTTGACAAGAGGAAGGGAATGATCTTTGTTTCGGTGTAAAAGGCAGTGACAGATCCCAAGTGCCCCGGGGCGCAGGGGACTTCATCCTGCAGCTGATGGCGAGTGACAGCAGCCGTTCATGCAGGGCCTCCACAATTGAATTAAACATATGGACTGGAGCTGCCTAATGGGGAGAGTGAGAGCTGGGCACATGGACAAGCATCAGGGAGCTGAAGGCCAGGCCCAGACACCTGCAGGGGCACTGCAGACACTGGGAGCACGGTTTGCACTGAGAACAGCATGGGAAGGGCAGCACTTCGGGGGGATCACAGCATCACAGCATCACAGTATGGTAGAGATGGGAAGGGACCCCAAAAGCTCATCCAGTCCAATCCCCCTGCAGAGCAGGAACACCCAGATAAGGTTACACAGGAACGGGTTTTGAATGGCTCCAGAGAAGGAGACTCCACAACCTCCCTGGGCAGCCTGGTCCAGTGTTCTGTCACCTCACTGAGAAGGAGTTTAAGTGGAACCTCTTGTGTTCCAGTTTGTACCCATTGCCCCTTGTCCTATCATTGTTTGCCACTGAGAAGAGCCTGGCTCCATCCTCGGGACACTCCCCCTTTATATATTTATATACACTAATAAGGTCACCCCTCAGTCTCCTCTTCTCCAAACTATAGAGACCCAGCTCCCTCAGTCTCTCCTCATAAGGGAGATGCTCCACTCCCTTCATCATCTCAGTTGCCCTGCGCTGGACTCTCTCCAGCAGGTCCCTGTCCTTCTTGAACTGAGGGGCCCAGAACTGGACCCAATATTCCAGATGGGGTCTCACCAGGGCAGAGTAGAGGGGAAGGAGGACCTCTCTCGACCTACTGACCACCCCCCTTCTAATACACCCCAGGATGCCATTGGCCTTCTTGGCCACAAGGGCATAGTGTCGGCTCATGGTCATCACTAGGACCCCCAAGTCCCTCTCCCCTACACTGCTCTCTAACAGGTTGTTCCCCAGCCTATACTGGGATTCTTCCTTTTCCTCATGGGTTTGAGGTTTAGAACCCTCATTGCTGCCTCTGGTGCCCCTGATGGAGGCTGGGATCTCAGCTGGGTACCACAACTTAACACCAGTGTGGGCACAGAGCGGTGGGACCAATGCCATGGTGCTGCTGCCCGAGGCTATCCCAAGTGTGGGTGCTCCCTCCCTGTGCCCATCTCCTGTCACCTCTCCTCTGCTCTGGAGCTGAGGATTCCCAGCTCACCTTCCCTGGAGGTTAACACCTTACAGTGCACTGAAGGAGCTGCGGGGGGAGAACCCCCTGCGAGAGCATCACTGGGTGCAGAGGGACCGCATCCCCAAGGGAAAACACCCCTGCACTGCCTGCAAAGCACAGCAAGTCCCATTTAAAGCAGCTCCTCCCCAGTGCGTGCACAAAGGTTGCAGAGATCCAGCGAAGCAGCAGGGGTTTGCAAGGGAAAGGGGTCAAACATCCCCACTCCAGCTCTGTGGGATCAGGGCAAGGTCTCCTTGGGGCTACACCCAGGAGTAGACTGTTTGTAGGGAGCTTCAGAGCATGGAATAGGATCATGGAATGGGTTGGGTTGGAAAGGACGTTAAGATCATCCAGTTCCAACCCCTGCCATGGGCAAGGACACCTCACACTAAACCATGGCACCCAAGGCTCTGTCCAACCTGGCCTTGAACACTGCCAGGGATGGAGCATTCACAACCTCCCTGGGCACCCATTCCAGTGCCTCAGCACCCTCACAGGGACGAATTTCCTCCTTAGATCCAATCTAAACTTCCCCTGTTTCAGTCTGAACCCATCACCCCTTGTCCTATCACTGCAGTCCCTGATGAAGAGTCCCTCCCCAGCATCCCTATAGGCCCCCTTCAGACACTGGAAGCTGCTCTGAGGTCTCCACGCAGCTTCTCTTCTCCAGGCTCAACAGCCCCAATGTTCTCAGCCTGGCTCCATACAGGAGCTGCTCCAGCCCCTGAGCATCCTCGTGGCCTCCTCTGGACTTGTTCCAACAGCTCCATGTCCTTCTGATGTTGAGGACACCAGAACTGCACACAGTGCTCCACGTGAGGTCTCACCAGAGCAGTATAAAGGGACAGGATCCCCTCCTTCACCCTGCTGGTCACGCTCCTTTGGATGCAGCCCAGGATACAGTCCCATTCTGGGCTAAGGGTTCCTCCACAGGGTGTGCTCCAGCTCAACCCATTCCCAGCCAACAGTGAGGCCCTATTGGAGACATCCCAAAGCTAGGAATGGTCTGCAGGGACAAACCCACCCATCAGCAGAGCGGTTACACCAGGGGTGAGCCTTGCACTGAGGTTTGCCTCCATCAAGTCTCCACTCTCCCACTGCATCACTGGATAGAGCAGGAGATCCACTGCATCCTACCAAGCTTCAGGTTGTGATCCACAGGGACCTGGACAGGCTGAGAGAGCTGGGCTGGGGCAGCCTGGGGAAGAGAAGGCTCCTGAAGGGGAGACCTTAGAGCAGCTCCAGTGCCTAAAGGGGCTGCAGGGAACCTGGAGAGGGGCTTGGGACAAGGGATGCAGGGATGGGATGAGGAGGAATGGCTTCAACCTGGAAGAGGGAAGAGTTAGATGGGACATTGGGATGAAGCTCTTCCCTGTGAGGGTGCTGAGGCGCTGGCACAGGGTGCCCAGAGAAGCTGTGGCTGCCCCATCCCTGGCAGTGCTCAAGGACACAGGGGCTTGGAGCAAGCTGCTCCAGTGGAAGGGGTCCCTGCCCATGGCAGGGGTTGGAGCTGGAGGAGCTTTCAGCTCCCTTCATCCCTTTTATTCCCTTTTAGCTCCCAATTCAAGTCAGGATTCATCCAAAATGTGGCAAAACTCAGCACCATTTCCCCAACCCAGCCAAAACCTGCGTTTTCCTTCCCACCTAAGCCCCAGCATCGCTCCCACTCTGCCCATCCACATCAAGGGCCCACCCTGGCTGTGCCTCTCGGAGCCGCGGTGCTCCCAGCAGCATCCATACCTGCTCCAAGCCTGCCTTTAGCTCCTCATCACCCCGAGCATCCTCTCCCTGCCTCCCTCAGGCCCGTTCTGCTCCGCTGCCCGCTCGGAATGGGCCGCAGCCGTCACACCCCAGTGCTGGGCATTGTGCAGAGGCCGAGGTGGGAGGCTCCGGAGCCCGGCCTGTGATGGGCGAGCAAACAACGGGGCCCGGTGCTGCTGGGACATCAAAGTTAACACAAGAACCCCGAGCCCCCCTCCTTTGCACCCGCCTTAAGGAGCTCCCCGAGGGGGTCAGGACTTGGGGCTTGTCACTGGAACCATCAAAGCCAGCACCACACACGAACTGGGCGCATGGATCCGAGCGGCGTCGGCCGAGAGCGGATATCCCGCCTTTGTGGCCCGCTTTAATCCCGTGTTTTCCCAAGTCATTTGGGTTTCTTCTTGCTTATGAACTTGTGACTAAGTAAAGCAGCCCCGAGAGGGTGGCACATCAAAGCTCAGCCCCCGCCCGGGCCACAATGCCACAATTGGATTTGGTTTTCACCGCTCGGTTTGTTTGCTGCCCCTTTAAACACAAGCGGTCTCTAATTGAATTTAGTTGGGGGCTGAATGCATTGCCCAGTGCCCCATAGAGGCACCAGCATGGGAACGCAGCAGGCAGGGGACAGGCCTAGGAGCATGGAGGGATGCGGTGGCAGCTCCTATGGGAGCTTCCCGAGGCTCAGGGATCACGGCATCACAGCATCACAGCATCACAGTATGTTAGACATGGGAAGGGACCCCAAAAGCTCATCCAGTCCAATCCCCCTGCAGAGCAGGAACACCCAGATAAGGTTACACAGGAACGGGTTTTGAATGGCTCCAGAGAAGGAGACTCCACAACCTCCCTGGGCAGCCTGGTCCAGTGTTCTGTCACCTCACTGAGAAGGAGTTTAAGTGGAACCTCTTGTGTTCCAGTTTGTACCCATTGCCCCTTGTCCTATCATTGTTTGCCACTGAGAAGAGCCTGGCTCCATCCTCGGGACACTCCCCCTTTATATATTTATATACACTAATAAGGTCACCCCTCAGTCTCCTCTTCTCCAAACTATAGAGACCCAGCTCCCTCAGTCTCTCCTCATAAGGGAGATGCTCCACTCCCTTCATCATCTCAGTTGCCCTGCGCTGGACTCTCTCCAGCAGGTCCCTGTCCTTCTTGAACTGAGGGGCACAGAACCGGACCCAGTATTCCAGATGGGGTCTCACCAGGGCAGAGTAGAGGGGAAGGAGAACCTCTCTCGACCTACTGACCACCCCCTTCTAATACACCCCAGGATGCCATTGGCCTCCTTGGCCACAAGGGCACAGCGTCGGCTCATGGTCACGCTGTCCATGGATGCTGCTATGGGACAGCCCTGCCTGCTCAGCACTCACCTGCCTCCATGTCCAATGCCCCAGGTTCAGCCCAACACCACATCCCAGCTGGATGTCCCACCCCATGGGCAGCTGGAGCAGCCTACAGGGACCCCCCCCCAGTGATGGGGATGCTGAGGGAAGGTGGAACCTACCTGGAGTTCCTGCTGATGGCTGCCACCATGAGCGCCGTCCAGCCCAGCCTGTGCCTTGCGTTCACGTCCACGCCGTCCACCAGGAGCCTGGGTGGAAGAGGGACAGGGTCAGGAGAGGACACAGAGAAACCAGGCCAAGGTTATGGGGGGAATCGGCTCCTTTATAGGAACCTGCTCCAGGGCAGCTGAGAAAACCAATGGGGGAACTGGATTGAACCCCTCCTCCTCATCACATCACCAGGGAATGGGTTGGGGTGAAGGGACCTTGAAGCACCTCCAGCTCCAACCCCTGCCATGGGCAGGGACCCCTTCCACTGGAGCAGCTTGCTCCAAGCCCCTGTGTCCAACCTGGCCTTGAGCACTGCCAGGGATGGAGCATTCACAACCTCCTTGGGCACCCATTCCAGTGCCTCAGCACCCTCACAGGGAAGAACTTCTTCCTTATTTCCAACCTAAACTTCCCCTGTTTCAGTCTGAACCCATCACCCCTTGTCCTATCACTGCAGTCCCTAATGAAGAGTCCATCCCCAGCATCCCTATAGGCCCCCTTCAGACACTGGAAGCTGCTCTGAGGTCTCCACGCAGCTTCTCTTCTCCAGCCTCAACAGCCCCAATGTCCTCTGTCCTCATTCCCAACCTTTGCATCCATTCCCTAACCCCGTCCTGCTCCCCTGAGCAGACTCGAGCTGGATGGATGAAGCTCCCTTCATCCCAAACCATTCTCTGACCTCCCTCTATGATCTCCAGCACCACCACAAGGTTTAAGCTCTATCCACCAGGGTTACAGTTCAAAGTGTAAGGAGAATGAAGTGTTTGACAGGGAATCAGAGCTCCTGTGTCCTGGCTCCAGAGGAGTCTCATCCCCCATGGCAGCAGAACAGGCTCCCCTGCAGGATGCTTACACCCATCTGCACACCACCAGCTCCATCCTGCTGCTGTCTCCTTGTCCCACCTGCACGCAGATGCCCAAGAGCACAGCAGCATCTCCATGTGCAGCCCGGAAGCATCCCCATCCCCATGAGCACGGGATACGGCTGGATGCCCCGGTGATGGCAGATCGCTATCTGCATGGATCAGCTCCCATTGCAGCGCTGCAGACGGGGCCTGTTTGCACTCACAACAGCGAGGGGACAGGGCTGGGCCTCGGCTCCATGGCCACAGGTCAGAGCCATCACCTCCTGCTGCACCCAGGGCCGCAGGGGGAAATCCACACCAGGCTCCATCTGTGCACCAGGTGCTGCCTGGAAGGATGCTCCTTGGGCTGGGAAAGGAGGCACTGATGGGGTAAGAGGCAGCCCTGGATCCCCCAGACCAGTGAGCCCAGCAAGGGATGGGGACCATCCCCTTGCCCTTGTGCCAAGCCCCTCTCCTGCAGCACTGGACCTGCTCAGGAGCCTTCTCTTATCCAGGCTGAACTGGATGAGCTTTAGGGTCCCTTGAGCCCAAACCATTCTGATACCCTGCTGCTGCAGGCCTCAATCACAGATACTCCCATTCACCCCATAGCTTGCCATTGAGGACTCTCCATCATTACAAGCACCATGAACACCACAGGATGCAGTGCAGGAGTCCCCCGTATCACATCACCAGCATCCCCACACTGGTGCTGCTGGTGAAGGATGCTCAGCAGCTCTACAGCATCTCTGGGCAAGGGAACTGCTGTTACCATTGAGCTCCTGCTTTACTGCTATGGCACCCTCACAACCAGCAGTAGGGTTGGGTGCAGTGATGCAGGAGCAGGGGTGATGCAGTGGAACAGCCACAATGGACCCAAATACAGGGCACCCACTCTGGGCTATGTGTTCACCCAGTGATCCCATCACTCCCACAGCCCCATCACCCCGCTCAGAGCACCACCCCCTGCTCGCAGCACCCAGCTCTCTGTGGGCCGCTCCCTCTGGGAGCCCTTTGATCCCGGGGCCGGCGGGGCTGGCAGATGGATGGCCCCATTGCCCTCCATGGGCAGGTTCTGGGTGAGCGCCCCTGACACGGGGCCCAGGGCCATGTTTGACTTTGTGCTCAGCGCCTCCCTCCTGCCAGCTGCAGGACCCGGGGCTGCACACTTGAACTTAGCCCCCCCCCACCCCAACAATGGGTGCTGTGGGTGAGGGTAGGGAAAGGGGGGGGGGACCCCTTGGGATGGGCCCTTTGCACCAGCGGGAGGGTGAAAGCATCCCAAGGCAACAACGGCTGCGGGCATGGAAGCACAGGGACAGGGGAAGGAGCACAGGGAGAAGGTGGAGCTGGTGCAAGGGGGGGCTGGATGTGATCATAGAACCATAGAATGGGTTGGGTTGGAAAGGACCTTAACATCACCCAGTTCCAACCCCCTGCCATGGGCAGGGACACCTCACACTAACCCATGGCACCCAAGGCTCTGTCCAACCTGGCCTTGAACACTGCCAGGGATGGAGCATTCACAACCTCCCTGGGCACCCATTCCAGTGCCTCAGCACCCTCACATTAAAGAACTTCTTCCTTAGATCCAATCTAAACTCCCCCTGTTTCAGTCTGAACCCATCACCCCTTGTCCTATCACTGCAGTCCCTAATGAAGAGTCCCTCCCCAGCATCCTTATAGCCCCCTTCACACACTGGAAGCTGCTCTGATGCGGGTGCTGGCTCCCATCTGCTCCTCAAGCACCCATGGTCACCCCTGGGGGAACACACACGACCCCACACTCAAGGGGTGGAAGGGACAAAGCAGAGGAGCAGCATCAGGCCCATGGCTCCCAATGCATCCCTAAAGCACACAGGACCAACAGGGGCACGAGGAGAGGTGATGGCCAAGGGCAAGGGTGGAAGGGGATGTCCAGAAGGGAAGCCCTCAGAAGGGCAGGATTCAGGAAGGAGACAGCTCCTGGATGGGAGCAGGGGGGAGCACAGGGAGGGAGGACCCACATGATGGGGACACAGAGATGCAGGCATGGGGGACACCAAACTCCAGCCCACATCCACACTGGGAGATGCCTCAGCTCTAGGAGAAGGCTTTGCTCTTGCAAACAGGATGAAGGAACCGGATCAAGGAATCCTGGCATGGGTTGGGATGAAGGGAGCTTAAAGCCCATCTAAACCCACAGCAGGGACCCCTTCCACTGGAGCAGCTTGCTCCAAGCCCCTGTGTCCTTGAGCACTGCCAGGGATGGGGCAGCCACAGCTTCTCTGGGCACCCTGTGCCAGCGCCTCAGCACCCTCACAGGGAAGAGCTTCATCCCAATGTCCCATCGAACTCTTCCCTCTTCCAGGTTGAAGCCATTCCTCCTCCTCCCATCCCTGCATCCCTTGTCCCAAGCCCCTCTCCAGGTTTCCTGCAGCCCCTTTAGGCACTGGGGCTGCTCTCAGGTCTCCCCTTAGGAGCCTTCTCCTGTCCAGGCTGAGCTGGATGAGCTCCAACCCCAAGCACTCCATAACTGCATGGTCCACACTGCACTGGGAGCGCTCTCCATGCCTGGTACCTCAGGTGTGCTCAGAGCAGAAGGGATCAGCCCCTTCCACAAGAGCATCCTTGCTCCCCAGCCCACAACACCACCAGTGAGCAGCGCACCCAGACTGGGACCCTTCAGCTCCATGTGCCAGGAGCAGGCCAATCCCATGGGATAGAGGCACTCCCATGGCAGGGCAGCAGTTGTGTGCATCCCCTGCTCCGGAGCACAGCCCACACCAGCATCCTGCAGCTGATCCCAATGGGAACGCTGCAGGGGGGGGAACACACCAATGGGAGATGGCATCTCCCAGTGGACTGAGGCAGGGGGCTGTGGGGGTCCAGCTCACGCTGCTCCTCACTGGGAAGCACAGCCTGATCGGACTTGGGCTGGTGCCTGCTGCTGGGAATGGGGCCACAGGCTCTGTGTTTCCATGAGTCACTGCTCCATCAGCCTCATGCAGGAGGATGCTCTGCTCTGAGCCTGCTCTTTGGTGGGTGCTTGGGAAGGAACCAGGCTGGAACAGGGAGAATCACTGTTATAGGAACACAGGGGGATGGAGGCAGTTGTTCTCCCTGGCTCTGCTTCTTCCTTCGCTTCCAAACACTTGGAATCACTGAGGTTGAGGGGAATTGAAGTATTGATGCTCATTCAGTGTTCCCATCTGTACATGGGTGGGAAGGGCTGGTTTGCTCCAAAGGCAATGGTCACACAAGTTCATAGAATCCCAGACTGGTTTGGGATGAAGGGATCTTAAAGCACCTCCATTCCCAACCCCTTCCACTGGAGCAGCTTGCTCCAAGCCCCTGTGTCCAACCTGGCCTTGAGCACTGCCAGGGATGGGAACCCCCAATTCCTTCTCCTCAGGCTCCATCCCATCGTCCCCAGCCTGGGTTTGTGCTGGGATTGCCCCAACCCAAGGACAGGACCTTGCCCTTGGCCTGGTTGAGCTCCATGAGGCTCCCATGGGCATCCTAGGGGTGATTCCTAGAACCCCATCATCCCACAGGGGATCTTTAGGGGATCTCATCTCTTCCAATAGAGAGAACACAGCTCTGTGGGATGAGGGCCACAGTCCTCAAAGCTCTTCCATTCCCTGCTTCCTGGAGCCTCTCTCTGCTCTCTTCTCCCTCCTCAGTTAAGGCCATTTATGACTTAAGGGATGGCCTGGAAATGGGGGTACCTCACAGCATCCTCTCCCATGTGTTTCCTCCTCACTGCTATAATGCACAAAGGGGCCATAGGGAGGTGCCACCTGAACGGGGTCCCTGATGCAGTGCTGCAGCAGGCAAGGCAAGTACCCCAGCATCAGACAGCAGAGCGAGGCAGCAGGGTCTGGCAATGACAACCATGAGGGGGCTGCTTCCCATCACCTCTGATGTGAGAGGATGCAGGAGTGAACAGCATCAACAAGCACTGAGAGCACTGAGAGCACCAGCATGGCCCTGCTGGCCTGGCCTGAGGCCACGGGTGCTGGCAGCATGCAGTGAGCATCCCCATCACGCTGTGAGGCCTGAGTGCATGGGAGCTCGGCCCTGCAGCCTCTGTGTTACCTTATCAGAGCTGCAATGAGCCTAAACCCACAGAGAGCATCACTGGGGCAGCCTCCCCTTTCCCTTGGGCACAGGGTTCAGGAGCAGGGATGCAGCAGGGAGAGGTGGGATGCAGCAGGGAGAAGTGGGATGCAGCAGGGAGAGGCAGGATGCAGCAGGGAGAGGCGGGATGCAGCAGGGAGAGGTGGGATGCAGCAGGGAGAGGTGAGATGCAGCAGGGAGAGGTGGGATGCAGCAGGGAGAGGTGGGATGCAGCAGGGAGAGGTGGGATGCAGCAGGGAGAGGCGGGATGCAGCAGGGAGAGGGGGGATGCAGCAGGGAGAGGGTCAGCAGGGAGAGGTGGGATGCAGCAGGGAGAGGCGGATGCAGCAGGGAGGGATGCAGCAGGGAGAGGTGGGATGCAGCAGGGAGAGGTGGGATGCAGCAGGGAGAGGTGGGATGCAGCAGGGAGAGGCGGGATGCAGCAGGGAGAGGTGGGATGCAGCAGGGAGAGGTGGGATGCAGCAGGGAGAGGTGGGATGCAGCGGGGAGAGGTGGGATGCAGCAGGGAGAGGTGGGATGCAGCAGGGAGAGGCGGGATGCAGCAGGGAGAGGTGGGATGCAGCAGGGAGAGGCGGGATGCAGCAGGGAGAGGTGGGATGCAGCAGGGAGAGGTGGGATGCAGCAGGGAGAGGTGGGATGCAGCAGGGAGAGGTGGGATGCAGCAGGGAGAGGTGGGATGCAGCAGGGAGAGGTGGGATGCAGCAGGGAGAGGTGGGATGCAGCAGGGAGAGGTGGGATGCAGCAGGAGAGGCGGGATGCAGCAGGGGGAGGTGGGATGCAGCAGGGGAGGTGGGATGCAGCAGGGAGGGCGGGAGCAGCGGGAGAGGGGATGCAGGGAAGGGAGCAGGGAGAGGCGGGATGCAGCAGGGAGAGGAGGGATGCAGCAGGGAGAGGCGGGATGCAGCGGGGAGAGGTGGGATGCAGCGGGGAGAGGTGGGATGCAGCGGGGAGAGGTGGGATGCAGCAGGGAGAGGCGGGATGCAGCAGGGAGAGGTGGGATGCAGCAGGGAGAGGTGGGATGCAGCAGGGGGAGGTGGGATGCAGCAGGGAGAGGTGGGATGCAGCAGGGAGAGGCGGGATGCAGCAGGGAGAGGCGGCAGCACAGGCACAGGGGTGCTGCATGGAGGCAGCTCCCCATGGAGCACAACTGGGAGGGAGTCATGGGATGGGTTGGGATGAAGGGAGCTTAAAGCTCATCTAAAGCCACAGGCAGGGACCCCTTCCACTGGAGCAGCTTGCTCCAAGCCCCTGTGTCCAACCTGGCCTTGAGCACTGCCAGGGATGGGGCAGCCACAGCTCCTCTGGGCACCCTGCACCGTGCTCTCATCCCTCTGACCCATGGGGATCCAAGCTGGGGAGCTGAGTGCTCCAAGGGCTGCAGGAGCAGCATCCCTTGGGATACCTGCCCAGACACTGCCACATGTGAGCCACAGCAGGCACAAAGGACAAGGCCACCCTTGCCAAGGGCTGACAGAGCTCGGTGGCCTCCCCAGCCCCTGGGTGGCAGCAGCAGCATCACAGCATCACAGTATGGTAGAGATGGGAAGGGACCTCAAAAGCTCATCCAGTGCAATCCCCCTGCGGAGCAGGAACACCCAGATAAGGTTACACAGCATCCCAGCAGCCCTGCTCACCTGCTGACCTCCGGAACATCATTGATCCTCACAGCTTCCAGCAGAGCATCCTCTGCAAAGGGAGAAAGAATGGGAATGAGTTCACAGGGAGCAGCCCCACAGCCCCAGAGAAGCTGTGGCTGCCCCATCCCTGGCAGTGCTCAAGGCCAGGTTGGACACAGGGGCTTGGAGCAAGCTGCTCCAGTGGAAGGGGTCCCTGTCCATGGTTTTAGATGAGCTTTAAGCTCCCTTCATCCCAACCCATCCCGGGATTCCGTGCTCAGCAGCTCCCTGCCTGCTGCATCCTAACAGCAGAGATGCCCCGGGAGCACCTCCATGGCCATAGGGGTGTGAACGGCTCCATCCTGGCCTCTCCCGTATCCCCAGGGAACCCCTCCTCACCCACTGGGGGTGCTGCCGGTCCCTGCCTCTGCAGCCACCATGGGATGGGGCTGGGAATGACTGGAGCAGAGGGGGGAAGGTCCTGCAGGGCCACACAGGGATGAGGCAGGAGAGGCTCCAGCAAGGCCCCAAGTGACTCCCAACGGGAGGACCCGAGCAAGCCCAGCACCCCCATGGAGCTGCAGCGACACCTCCTGGCTGCTGAGGGTACGGGCAGCCCCCGAGGGGGCTCCCCAGCGCTGGGACCGGCACAGCCCTGCAGGGGCATGGGGCTGCGGGGACATCCCCCCAGGGACCCCAGCCCTGCGCTGCTTCCGGCTCTTGCCCCTTGTCCTGCCCTTTCCCAGCCTCTGCTTTGTGTCTTTAACGGGATCTCCTCAGAGCAGGCAAACACTGCACTGAGCATCGCTCTCTTGGGGCACCAGCACCCAAAGCCATAGGGGTCTGAAGGGACCTTAAAGCTCATCTAAAACCACGGGCAGGGACCCCTTCCACTGGAGCAGCTTGCTCCAAGCCCCTGTGTCCAACCTGGCCTTGAGCACTGCCAGGGATGGGGCAGCCACAGCTTCTCTGGGCACCCTGTGCCAGCGCCTCAGCACCCTCACAGGGAAGAGCTTCTGCCTAAGAGCTCAGCTCAGTCTCCCCTCGGGCAGGTTCAAGCCATTCCCCTTGGCCTGTCCCTACAGGCCCTTGTCCCAAGCCCCTCTCCAGCTTTCCTGCAGCCCCTTTAGGCACTGGAGCTGCTCTCAGGTCTCCCCTTCAGGAGCCTTCTCTTCTCCAGGCTGCCCCAGCCCAGCTCTCTCAGCCTGGCTCCAGAGCAGAGCTGCTCCAGCCCTCGCAGCAGCTCCGTGCCCTCCTCCGGCCTCGCTCCCTTCCCTCCTCCAGAACCTCCCCATTGCCCCCCGCTATCCCACACCCCGTCCCCGCCGGGCCGAGCAGCGATAGTCACCCTTGGACCGCCGGTCCCGCAGGTAGCAGAGGGCCAGGGCCGCGGCCAGGCCGGGCAGCAGCGCTCCGCGGCGGCGCCCCTCGGGCTCCCCTCCATGGGGCCGCCGGCGCTGCACACCCACAGCCCAGGGTGGCGGCGCTCCACGGGGCACGGCGGGCACCGGGCCGGGCTGCGGGGGGGGCGGCCCCGGGAGCTGCTGCTCAGCCATGGGGGTCCCCATGGGGCCTGGCCCCACTGCTAAAGGGGACCCCTTGGGGCCTGGCCCCACTGACAGGGGGCGCCCCCCGGGGCCTTGCCCCCGCCATGACACCCCCAGACTCTGTGGCGCGGAGCGCTGGCGCCCCCTGGCGGCCCAGTCCTCCAGCAGCCGCGGCCCGGCGCCCCCTGCCCCCTCAGCCACCGCGGCCGGCTCAGCCCCGGGGGCCGCCAGCGACGGCGCCAGCCCCGGCCGCGCCCGCAGGAGCCGCGCCAGCCCCGGTGGCGGCGGGCGGGCCGCGAGGGAGGTCAGCATCGTCCCGGTGTGCGCCGCCGGTGCCTCCGGAACCCCGCTCCGAGCAGCTGGAGGCCGGTGAAGCAAGATGGCGGCAGCCGGCAAGCCGGCGCAACAAGAGCGGCAGCTGCGCAAAGCCTGCTGGGAGTTGTAGTCCCCCGCCGCAGCCCCCGTTGTGTTAATGGCGCCGATGCAGACTACAACACCCAGGGGGTGCCGGGGCACCGCCCCGCTTCCGGGGCATGCCGGGAAAAGGAAGGGGTGGAGCCGCGGGTTCGAGACCCGCCTGGGCCTGCTGGCGCAGCCACTAGCGGACACACACGTGTGTACGTAAACACACATGTGCACGTACACACGTGTGCACATGCACACACGTGCGCATACACGTATGTACATACACATGTGCTCATACACACGTGTGCACATGCACACACATGTGCTCATACACACGTGTGCACATACACACAGGTGGTCATACACGTATGTACATACACATGTGCTCATACACGTGTGTACATACACAGACATACACATGCACACGTGTGTACATACATATGTGCTTATACACGTGTACCTGCACATGTGCTCATACACATGTGTGCACATGCACACGCATGTGCTCATACACACGTGCACGTACACACATGCACACAGGCAATCCCGCGCATAGGATTGCGCCTGCATACATGCACATGCAGAGGAGTGCACGTATGTAAGCACTCACACACATGTATGCGTGCATAGGGGAGCATACATATGCATGTACACATGTACTCACACATGGGGCATGCACACACACACGCATGCACTCACGCATGAGCATACAGTCATGGACATGCATGGGCACAGAGGATGCACATACACGCACATACATGTGCAGTCACGTGAACATGCATGTACAGGCACAAACAGCTGCATACACATCTGTTCACGCATGTACATGCACACACATGGGCACGTGCATGCAGCGGCACAGGTGCACATGTGAACTCACACACATGTGCACCCACACACGTGTGCACAAGCACTGCAGGCTCAGCCTGAGCCCTTGGCTCACCCATGCAGGGCATGCACAAGTGCAGGTGCTCCCTGTGTGCGCACGTGTGTGTGAGTGTGTGAGTGCATCCATGTGTGCACATGTCAGTGCATGTATGTGAATGCATGTGTCTGCACATGCATATGAGTGTGAATGCACATGTATGTATGTGTGTGAATCCTGTGTGCACATGTGCATACGTGCCTGTGTGTGAGTGCCTGTGTGCATGAGTGCACGTGTGTGTGCATGGATGTGCATGAATAAATGTGTGTGTGCATGTCTGTGAATCATGTGTGTGCATGCACACACATGCCAGGGTGTGTGCATGTCTGTGTGTATGAGTGCCCATATGTGTACATGCACATACATGCCTGAATGTGCACACATTCATGTGCATATGAGTGCATGTGTGTGCATGCATGTACAAGACACTGCACATGCATGTAAGTACATGTGTGTGTGCACATCTGTGAATCACTTGTGTGCATGCCTGTATTAGTGCACATGTGTGTGTATGCATGTACATACCTGTGTGTGCATGCCTGTATTAGTGCACATGTGTGTGCATGCATGTACATACCTGTGTGTGCATGCCTGTATTAGTGCACATGTGTGTGCATGCATGTACATGCCTGTGTGTGCATGCCTGTATTAGTGCACATGTGTGCATGCATGTACATACCTGTGTGTGCATGCAGGTATTAGTGCACATGTGTGTGCATGCATGTACATGCCTGTGTGTGCATGCAGGTATTAGTGCACATGTGTGTGCATGCCTGTATTAGTGCACATGTGTGTGCATGCATGTACATACCTATGTGTGCATGCAGATATTAGTGCACATGTATGTGCATGCCTGTATTAGTGCACATGTGTGTGCATGCATGTACATACCTGTGTGTGCATGCAGATATTAGTGCACATGTATGTGCATGCCTGTATTAGTGCACATGTGTGTGCATGCACATGTATGTATGTATGCACATACGCGTGCATCCGTGTCCGCGCCTGTGCGCACACCCGTGCGCACGCCCCCATGTGTCAGCGCACTCACGCATGTGCCGCTGCGCACGCGTGTCCCTGCGCGCATCCCTGCGGTGATGCCCGTGAAGGCCACGCGTGCGCCCCCGTACGTTCATGTCTGTACACGCGCGTTCGCGTGCGCAGTGCGGGTGCCCGCGCAACGGCTGCGCGCATCTCTGCGCGCGCCCCGGTGCACCCCCCTCCGGTCCTGATCCCGCCCCGCCCCGCCCCGCCCCGCGCTCCCGGTCCCGCCCCTGCCCATCGCGCACCGCGCACCGGGGATGCCGCCGCCGCCGCCGCTGTAGTTGGGGGGGGGGCGGCGGGACCGGATCGGATCGGATCGGATCGGAACGGATCGGAACGGATCGGATCGGAGCGGACCGGAAGGGATCGGAGCGGACCGGACCATGTCGGGTCGCGACAGCGTCCACATCCCCGACGATCGCGACTTCGGCGCGTTCCGAGCGCAGTGCGAGTCCGAGAGCGGCTGGAGCCTCACCTACAGCAAGGGGGGGGTGGCGGTGTGGGTGCAGCTCCGCGAACCCGAGCGCGACCTCCATAAGATCAAGGTGAGAGATCGGGATCGGGATCGGGATCGGGATCGGGAATGGGAACGGGAACGGGAATGGGAATGGGAACGGGAATGGGAACGGGATCGGGAATGGGAACGGGAACCGGCAGCGGGGGTAGCGGGGGGGGGGGGGGATGCCTCTGGGGCTGGAGGGAAGTGGGGACCCTTGTGGGGTGATGCTGCACCTAGGGGTAAGGGGGGACCCCGCAGTGAATGGGACTTGGAGGGTGATGGAGCACCCTGGGGTGAGGGGGGACCCCACAGCGAGTGGGGAGCCTCAAGGGATCCAGTGTCCAGAAGCAAGGGGGGACCCCACATAAGGTGGGACTTGGGGGTGATGCAGTGACCTGAAGGAAGGGGGGACCCCAAAGTGAGTGGGGTCCCTAAAGGGATCCAGTATCCAGAAGCAAGGGGGGACCCCACATAAGGTGGGACTTGGGGGTGATGCAGCGACCTGAAGGAAGGGGGGACCCCAAAGTGAGTGGGGGTTAGGGGGTGATGGAGCCCCCTGGGGTGAGCAGGGACGCCACAGCAAGTGGGGACCCTACAGCAGGGTCCCTACAGCGAGTGGGTCCCTCAAGCGATGCAGCACCGTGGGGCAAGGGGGGACCCCAAAGTAAGTGTGGACCATGGGGGTGAGCAGGAGCGGGGTGCAAGCAGGGACCCTGTGGCAAGGGGGGACCCCAGGGGTTAGTGGGGACCCTGGGGCAAGTTGGGGACCCTCAAGTGATGCAGCCCCCCCCGGGGGCGAGCAGGGACCTGGCTGAGCCGTTCCCCATTGCAAACAGGGACCCCAGTGACAAGGGGGGACTGGGGAGTTGCAGGGGGGTGATGGGGTCCCCCCCATAGGGCTCACTGCATGGGGGAGCTGTGGGGTCCTTGTGGTCCCTATGGTGCTGGCCCTTGCCCTGTGCCATGGGGTGGCATCGGTTCCGCAGGCACCGAACACTGGGGTGGTGGCACCGGTTGGTCCCGGTTCCCATTGGGAATCCCACTGGGAATCGCCTCTGTTGGCTCCCAGCGCTGCTGTGGCAGAGCCTGGAGGGGTGCTTGGGGACAAGGGGTGTCAATGGCCATCGGTGCTGTCACAGTGAGCCCCAACGAGGAGGTTTTGGGGGCACCGAGCGCCCATCACCGTGGTGTCACCATGGGCAGGTTGTGCTGGGCCTGGCTCTGTGGGGCAGCACATCCCGCTCCCCACACTGAGCCCCCCCCCCCAAACTCTGCTGATGGCTTTTGGGGTGTTCCTGCATCCCAAAGCGGCTCCGGTGGGATTGGGGCGCTGCTGTGTGGGCAGGGGGGGACTGGGGGTGTCCTCCCTGTTCCCTGCCTGTCCCCTGCCTGTTCCCTGCCTGTCCCCTGCTTGTTCCCTGCCTGTTCCCTGCCTGTCCCCTGCCTGTTCCCTGCCTGTTCCCTGCTTGTTCCCTGCCTGTTCCCTGCCTGTTCCCTGCCTGTCCCCTGCTTGTTCCCTGCCTGTCCCCTGCCTGTTCCCTTCCTGTTCCCTGCCCATTCCCTGCCCATTCCCTGCCCATCCCGACAATCCGGTTGTGCCACGTCCTCCGCCGTGCCTGGGAACCATCCCAAGGTGTGCACCAGGATGTCCTGGTCCAGCGCGTTCCCACCAGGGGCAGTTTGTACCCGGCACCATCCCTCACCCATCCCATCCCCATGCCCTTCCCTGCCTGTCCCGGTACCCCCAGCCCCTTCCTGCCTGCATCCTGCTTGGGAAGATCCTGATGGATGATCCCATATGGATGCTCTCTGTGTGTGTGTGTGTGTGCAGTGGCACTGGGCAGCATCAGGGTCCAGGGGGCACAGCCAGGCTCCAGGATGGGATGCTCCGGTTGGGTTTCATGGATGGCCATGGGGTTCACCCCAAAGCTCCCACCCCTCTTTGGCATCTCCTCTTTTCCCATCAGGAATGTGGCTCTGGTCTAACCTGTTTGCCAGCAGGCTGGGAACAAAAAGGTTGTGATTCATCCTTGGGACATGGGATGGGGCATTCAGTGATCCCAAAGATGGGGGACACCATTTGGGATCCCCCCCCTTCTCCATCCCATCCTGGTGGATGCAGGGAGATGCTGCCCTAGGGAAGGGCCCATCCCATGGGATGGGGTTGGAGCTGTTCCCACAGGTCCCTGCTTGTTCCTTATGACCCTTGTGATGGTCGCTAATGAACGGGGCTCTGTAATGAGCTTAATGACCCCCGTGGATGCACCCATGGCCATGGGTCCTGCTCCGGGCATGGGGGGGGCATCATGGGGAGGCTGTGGGCACCTCTTGCCTGGGGCAGAGCCAATGGCACCGGGTGGCTCCTTCCTCCTCCTCCTCACCCCATAGAGTCAATATTGACCCAAGGCTGTGGCCCGGCCCCTCTCCCATTCACATTCCAGGTCCCCAGGGACCGCATCCAGCCCGGCCCATGCGGGTGGGAGATGGGGGTCACGGATGTGAGGGGCTGAGACTGGACCAGATGGTGGCTGATGGGGGGGGGTGACTGAGGAGCAGATGGGAAAGGTGGGGTGGGATATGGGCTCCATGGGGTTGGAAATGGGCTCCATGGGGTCAGAGAGGGGCTCTATGGGGTTGTAGATGGGGTCTATGGGGTTGGAGATGGGCTCTATGGGGTTGGAGGTGGGGTCTATGGGGTCGGAGATGGGCTTCATGGGGTTGGAGATGGGGTCTATGGGGTTGGAGATGGGCTCTATGGGGTTGGAGATGGGCTCCATGGGGTTGGAGATGGGGTCTGTGGGGTTGGAGATGGGCTCCATGGGGTTGGAGATGGGCTCTATGGGGTTGGAAATGGGGTCTATGGGGTCAGAGGTGGGCTCCATGGGGTTGGAGATGGGCTCCATGGGGTGGAAATGGGCTCCATGGGGTTGGAGATGAGCTCCATGGGGTTGGAGATGGGCTCTAGGGGTCGGAGATGGGCTCCATGGGGTCGGAGATGGGCTCCATAGGGTGGGAGAGGGGCTCTATGGGGTTGGAGAGGGGCTCCATGGGGTTGGAGATGGGCTCCATGGGGTTGGAGATGGGCTCTATGGGGTTGGAGATGGGCTCCATGGGGTTGGAGATGGGCTGTATGGGGTTGGAGATGGGCTGTATGTGGTTGGATATGGGTTCTATGGGGTTGGAGATGGGCTCCATGGGGTTGAAGATGGGCTGTATGGGGTTGGAGATGGGTTCTATGGGGTTGGAGAGGGGCTCCATGGGGTTGGAGATGGGCTCCATGGGGTTGGAGATGGGGTCTATGGGGTTGGAGATGGGCTCTATGGGGTTGGAGATGGGCTCTATGGGGTTGGAGAGGGGCTCCATGGGGTCGGAAATGGGCTCTATGGGGTTGGAGATGGGCTCCATGGGGTTGGAGATGGGCTCCATGGGGTTGGAGATGGTCTCCATGGGGTCAGAGATGGTCTCCATGGGGTTGGAGATGGGCTCCATGGGGTTGGAGATGGGCACCATAGGGTGGGAGATGGTCTCCATGGGGTCAGAGATGGTCTCCATAGGGTTGGAGATGGGCTCCATGGGGTCGGATATGGGCTCTATGGGGTCGGAAATGGGCTCCAAGGGGTTGGAGAGGCGCTCCATGGGGTTGGGGCCAGGCTCCAGCTCCTTCACCCTAATCCAGCCCCAGCTCTGGGGCCCAGGAGTGTCCGGGGCCACCATTGGGATGAGCTGGACCTGGAGGCCTTTGGTGGGGCTGACCCCGGGTCCCAGCTTGGGCACAGCCGGGTGCAGGAGGATGGGGCCGTGGCTCCCCCTTTCTTCCCCTCATGTTCCCAAGCTGTCCCCCCATGACCGGTGCCATGCACCAGCCGTGGCCCCAGTGCCAAACTGGGCCTGACTGGGCTGAGCTGCTGGTTGGGATCCAGCCCCATTGGGTGTGAGAAGCATGAGAAGGACCCTCATGGGTGGTCCATGGTCCCCTCCTCACTCGGGGGCTCCCATGGCCCCCTCCTTCTTAGGGGTCTCCATGGCCATCTGGGTACCCCCATGGATGCCCAGTGTTAATGATGGGATCAGTGCAGTGGGATGGATGGATGCGGGTGTCTCCAGTGTTGCTGATGGGATCAGTGCAGTGGGATGGATGGATGCGGGTGTCTCCAGTGCTGATGATGGGATCAGTGCAGTGGGATGGATGGAGCTGGGTGTCTCCAGAGTTGCTGATGGGATCAGTGCAGTGGGATGGATGGATGCGGGTGTCTCCAGTGTTAATGATGGGATCAGTGCAGTGGGATGGATGGATGCGGGTGTCTCCAGTGTTGCTGATGGGATCAGTGCAGTGGGATGGATGGATGCGGGTGTCTCCAGTGTTAATGATGGGATCAGTGCAGTGGGATGGATGGATGCGGGTGTCTCCAGTGTTGATGATGGGATCAGTGCAGTGGGATGGATGGATGCGGGTGTCTCCAGTGTTAATGATGGGATCAGTGCAGTGGGATGGATGGATGCGGGTGTCTCCAGTGTTGATGATGGGATCAGTGCAGTGGGATGGATGGATGCGGGTGTCTCCAGTGTTGATGATGGGATCAGTGCAGTGGGATGGATGGATGCGGGTGTCTCCAGTGTTAATGATGGGATCAGTGCAGTGGGATGGATGGATGCGGGTGTCTCCAGTGTTGATGATGGGATCAGTGCAGTGGGATGGATGGATGCGGGTGTCTCCAGTGTTGATGATGGGATCAGTGCAGTGGGATGGATGGATGCGGGTGTCTCCAGTGTTAATGATGGGATCAGTGCAGTGGGATGGATGGATGCGGGTGTCTCCAGTGTTGATGATGGGATCAGTGCAGTGGGATGGATGGATGCGGGTGTCTCCAGTGTTGATGATGGGATCA